CTTGTTTTTTTCCTTTTTTTTTTTTTTTTTTTTTTTTTTTGGTACAGGGAATCGAACTCAGGACCTTGCGCTTGCCAGGCAGGCATGGTGCCACTGAGCCATATGCCTGGCCCTTTAGCATCACTTTACACGTGACTCAAGAAGAATTAATAAGGGCCACTCATGGTAGCAGATGCCTGTAATCTCAGCTACTCAGAATCCTAAGACAAAAGGATGGTGACTTCGAGGTCAGCCTGGGCAATTTATAGACTGTTTCAAAATAAAAAAAATAAAAAGGCCTGAGGATATAATGCAGTGGTAGACTTTTTTTTCTTTTTTCTTTTTTTGGCTTTTTGAGATAGGGTCTCACTACGTAGTTGAGACTGACCTGGAACTCACTATGTAGCCAGGCTGGTCTTAAACTCACAGCGATCCTCCTGCCTCAGCCTCCCAAGTGCTGGGATAACAGGCGTGCGCCACCATCACGCCCAGCTTAGACTAACTTTCTTACCCATGAGCCCCAGGATTCAAAAAGAACTGAAAAAATATATGACTAAAATAATAAAATGCAGCTAAAGGAAGGAACTAAAAACATCCCAAACTTACCTTCCTCTTATTGTGATACATAACGTAAACAATGGCAACACAAAAAGCAAAAATAATAAGATGAAAAAAGAAATGGCTGTCTTCCTCTTCTATATTTGAGGCTGGAGACTGAAAAGATTTCACTGACTGTTCAATTTCCAAATAGCCCCTGTTTTCTTCCAGAGTCTCCTCAGACTCCTCATCCCTGGGGCTTGTGGTCCAGTCGTAGTCTGGCTCTCCATAATCGCCATTGTCCAAGGCATCTCGGGCTGGGGAGGGAGAGCCATTTGGCACCAGGAGATCCTCCTCCTCCAGGCTCTGGTCTGCGTTGTTATCAGCTGCTTCTGGGAGCACAGAGGTGGTCAGGGAGGGATGGGGGGCTGCCAAGGTGCCTCTGCTTTTCTCAGGACCAGTCGGGGCAGGCAGAGTGGTGGTGACACGGGAAACAGAAGGCGTGGTGGGCGTAGTTTGGTTTTCGGGGTTTAAAGCATCTGTACTTGAAGTAGAAACATCTACGGGGCGTACAGTCTGACTTCTGGGCTGCATCTCTGATACCCCTGAAATAAAGGAATGAAGACATTATCCTGAAATCACTGGTTTTATTTCCACCAAGCTAAAAAGCATATTTACTGAAAAATTTTGGTAAGCATTTCTCTGTGCTAAATTCCTGTAACTTTCTCTTGAGAAAGTTAGTTATTAAACCTGCACAGCCAGCACTTAGTTACTTTTCTTCTTAGCCAAATATTCAGCAGATGACAACTGTTTTTGCAAGATACAGAGGCGAAGACTGGGGAGCCACCTAGGTATAGAGAATGATGGAAAATGACTTTCATCAGTCACTCCAGGCATCAAGAGGCATCAACAGAGGCAGATCCCACAGAGGAAATCCTGCTGAAATTGAACCATGTTCCTAATTTAATCAAATATAGCATCAGTTGAAGAACTTCAAGAATATTATGTTTAACAGCAAAATGCTCTGTCATGTGGGTTCTAAATACACTCAGATAACAAGTTAAAGTCTAGCAAAATGAAACACTTTATAAGGAGAAGATTAAACCAAGTCAATCAGGGCTTTCATGATTGTATATGTGCATATGTAAACAACTGTTTATGTGAATACACATATATCAGAATTGACATCTATTCGTATAGAAAAAAGAAATAGCTGCTTTCAACTGAGCTGAACAGAGTCCCAGAAAAATAATTTAGTAAGTTCCTTCTAAAAGAATAAAAGAAACTAGGGCTGGCTGGCCGTGCTGGTGCATGCCTGCAATCCCAGCACTGGAGGCTGAGGCAGGAGGATCACTGTGAGTTCAAGACCAGCCTGAACTGTGTAGCAAGACCCCGTCTCAAAAAACAAAACCATAAAATCCAGTGAGGGAACCAAAAAGACAAACTGTCCATTAGTTTTAGACCTCAATACCTTTCTTTCACAACAAATGACAGAACTAGACCTGGGCAAAAAAAAAAAAAAACAAAAAAAAACAGCAACACCATTAATCAGCACAATCTAGGTGACATTTACAGAACATCTAACTACAAGGGCCAGACACATTCTCTTTTCAAGGCCTACAAAACATAACAAAATATGCTACGTCAGGGCCAAAAAGCAAACATCAACAAATTCAAAAGAATTGAAATTACAGTGTCTGTTCTCTGGTAATACTGGAATCTAATCAGATACTGGAGCTAAGCGGTAGAGAGTTTGTTGTTCAACAGGCATCACAACACAAAATGACCAAAAACATAATAAAAAAGGAAAATCTCCAAACACTTAAAACAGCATACTTCTAAATAAACCATGAGTCACAGAGGAAGCCTCAAGGGTAATTTAAAAAATATAATGAGCTAAATGAAAACAAAAATAGAACATGTTAAACGATGTACAATGTAGTTTAAGGTGAGGGAAATTTATAGCACTAATGCACGTACTACAAAAGAGAGAATGTCTCAAACCAATCATGTAAGCTCCTAGCTCCAGAACCTTGAAAAATAACAAAATTCAAAGCCAGAAATAAAATGATAAAAAGCTGCAATCAATGCAATTAAAAACGAGAAAAATAATGAAAATGGAATATGAGTTGATTTTTTAAAATGACAAATTTTCTAGCACGTGTGAAAAAGAGAAGATACAAACTCAGTATCAGAGATTAAACTGGATGCCACTACAAACCCTGCAGACAGCAAGAAAAGTAACAGAATAGCACGGACAACTCTACTCACAGAAAATGACACATTTTTTTGAAACACAAAGTACCACAGCTCATCCACTATGAAATACATCATTCGAATCACTGTGCAACTATTAAGGAAGTGACCATCATTTTAAAATTCTCCCCAAATAAACAACCAGGCCCAAGTGGTTTCACTGGAGAATTCTACCAAACATTTAAACAAGACTTAGTACCAATTCTACACCATCTCTTCCAGAGAACAAAAGGAGAGAGAGCATGTCACAACTCTTCTTATGAAGACAGTACTGTTACCCTAACGTCAAAACCAAAGACCTGACAGAGAAGAGAAACCATGGCGCAGAGATTGCGAACCTTTAGGAGAAGAGTGCCCAAACTGCAACCCCAAACCACTTCTGTATCACCAAGGGCCAATGCTACAATTAAACCTGATTACTGAGGTTTTAGTTAGAAAAAACAACTCATACATTAACTTTTTCTCTCTTTTTTTTTTTTTTTTTTTGGTACCAAGGATCAAACTCTGGATCTTGCAGTAGCGGAGGAGGCGGAGACACCACTGAGCTAAATTCCTAGGAGATATTAAGCTTTTCTTCAAAGAAAAACGTAACATCAAGTGTGCCTTAGGTTTGCCGCCACGCTTCAGAACAAGTCTTATGAATATACCTCCTTAACAAAATATTAGCAAACGGGAACGAACAGAGCGAGTGTCACAGTTCGGATGCTGACTGGCTTCCCAGAGTAGAGCCTCTGGGAGGTGGGGACCTGTGGGAGCTCCAGAGGCCACTGTGTCGTGCCCAGGATAATCGTGGGATCCTGGTTACCCCCTACTCCCTCGCCGCTTCCTGGCTGATATCAGAGGCCTGCTCCACCACACATCCCCACTGTGACATGTCACCCCACCAAAAGCCCAAAGTCATGGGTCAAAGATCTTAGACATGAACCTCCCCGAGCCAAAGTAAACTCTTTCTTTTTACAACTGCCTCATATATTTCATTATAGTAACAGAAAACTGACTAATGTAAAAAAAAAAAAAAAAAAAAATCATAGCAAGGGCCAGGGGTGTAGCTCAGGAGTCACTGTACCTGCCAGGCAAACACAAAACCCTGAGTTTGAGCCCCAGTATGGGAGGAGGAGATCACAGCAGCAAGGGTTATACAGCTCAGTGGTGGAGCACAGACTTAGCAACACAAGGCCCTAGGTTTGATCCCTGGCACCACACAACACATACACACACACACACACACACACACACACACGCACCATATATACAAAACCGGCTCAACATTTTTAAATCAATCAGTGTAATCCACAATATTAGCAGACCAGATGAACCACAACCTAAGTTTCATACCTTACACCAAAAAAAAAAAAAAAAAAAAAAAAAA